GGGCTGCAGTGCGCTATGCCGATCGGGTGTCCGCACTAAGTTCGGCATCAATATGGTGACCTCCCGGGAGCGGGGGACCACCAGGTTGCCTAAGGAAGGGTGAACCGGCCCAGGTCGGAAAAGATCTTTTGGAAGCAGGGGCATGACTTGTGATGCACAGGAGGTTGAGGAGGACAAGGGAGGAGTTGGGTGACTCTAGGGTTTACCCATGCTGGGGTGACTGTTCATTGAATGAGACGGACTCCCCAGCAGAGGGACGGGCGGGGTGAAAACCTCAGCACTCTAGTCAAGATATTTTTGTATTTGAAACCCAGAAGATGCAGTGGTTGTCATGTGACACCCCACCCCCACCCCACTCAGCGCCTGGCCTCTCACCTCCAGAGCCCAGGAACCTCTTGCCATCGGAGACCACTGGGTACCTGGCCTCCAACCTTCGGTCCGGGTAGATGAGCTCCTCAGCCGAGAAAACCACCTGGCCCCTGGCCTGCCGGAACTTTTTCAGGAGCTCACGTGGCCCAGAGGCAAACAGCACATCATAGCTGTGGCCAGAGCAGGGAGAAGGCAGGCAGGCCCCGGTGAGCATGGGCCCAGGGAGGACACCAGGATGAAGATATCCCACACAGCCCCCTTGTCCTACAGCAGCCCCGGGCAACCATCTTGGAAATTGCCTGCCACATTTCCATCCCCACCCCAGACAGGGAGATGGGCCCCATAACCCATGTCACACTCAAAACACGCTGCGAATCCATGGCAGGTCACCCTTCCCATCTTTTCACCAAGAGGGGGAATGACTACACCAGACACCCTTATCCTGGGGGTTCATGGGTCCTCTAAAACCACAGACAATCTTAACTGAGTGACCCCCCCAAATACCTCAGAGTATTTCTGTCTGTCTGTCTGGCTCCTCTGCCCAGTCAACCAACCTGTCTATAAAGAGAATGACCAGGTCCTTCTTGTCCGCGTGCTTTTCCAGAGCTTTCTTCAGCAGACGAACCTTCTGCCCTCCACCTGCTGACATCCCCTTCTCCACATTCCAGTCCTCCCCTAGGCCCAGCGCCTGGAGACAAAGGCCCCTTATTTTCCAGCCAATGTCCACCGCCCAGCTGGACATCTTTGTTTCTGTTTGTCCTGCACCTCTGGCCCTCCTCTGTAGGTAAACTAACCATCCCACAGGTGTGAAAGCTGACCTGGGTCCTGGGGAGGCCTGGCCAATTAGAATCCCCTGTGCCTCCTGTCCTTCCTACAGCCAGATTTGAGCATGGGGCCCAACCGTGGCCTATCAGAGTCTTCTTGAAATACTCTGTTAAAATTTAGGGAAGGCTCAGGCAAGCTGAATTTTAGTTTGTGGCTAATGGTCATCTTGCCACAGTGTAGACAGAGCATTCTGCAAACGAAAAGAAGCAAAATTCCTAGAGGTACAAAGAGAGGGTGTTTCCTTTGCTGTTTGAAACCCTAGATCCAACTATGCCTGAAGCACAGTTGCTTCAGTGCTCATTCATGTGAGTTAATACACTTTCCTTCTGGCTTCATGCCAAGTTCTGTGTAGACAGTGATGTGACCAGTCCTGTCCTCCACTCTAGCCCCAGTACTCAACAGCATACCTGATCCAGGGAAGCACTGAGCATGGTAACCAAATGGGAGAATGGCTCCCTGCAGGGGGAGCTCCCAGTGGACTGGGCATGTTTTTTTTTACCGTAGTGTTCTCTCTACAGGGATGCTCTGCAGACACATGCACCCCCAAAATCCCCTGGGGGGACTTGTGGAAATGCCTGCTTCCAGCCCTGCCCTGTAAACCACCTCCTGGGTGAGTCCTCTGCAGGTAACATCTGAGCAGCACTCTGACTGACCTCTCTAGCCTCGCCTCTCCTTCCTGCTCACCTCCTAGAATTTGTTCATGCTTCCTTATCCTAACTCATCTTCATCCTTCAGCCTTCCACCTTAGGGGCTTTGGCAGTGTGGAAAGGGAGGACACTGGCTCCTGGCTCTTCCCCTACCCCTCTGCCTTGCCCCTTACCTGGATCCTGTAGTTAAAGAACTGGGCTGAGCGCTTGAAGCGGCGGAACCCCTCGGTCTCCTTCGTAGCCACCGTGAGGACTAAAAGATTGTCTGTGGACAAAGAAGGGTGAGTAAAATGGGAATGAGGAGGAAGGAAGGGACAGGTAGGAGGGGGGCTCTGTTTGCAGTGACCTGTCAAATCCTGCTAGGACATGTCCTCATGTCAACCTATTACAAACAAGAGCCCAGGTTGAGCCTAAGATTACCTGACAGGTTAACAACAGAACTGGGCCTTAACCCAAGTCTCTGGATGCATTTCCCTTCTCCCAGGGCTCCTTCCACCTGGTAACTGACTAACATGGTGATGTGAGCACCCACAGGAGAGGGGTCTGCCCCCTACCTTGTGGCACAGAGTCTCTGGCTTCAGGTGGCTCAGGGATTGCATGGGGATAGTGGGGAAGATTTCTCTGGCCAGCATTGGACATTATCCCTGGGTCAGCAAATTCAAGGCCCAGAGGCCACTGCTTTCTGTGTCTGCACCCAGGCACTGCTAATCCATGCCGACAGTCTTTCTCACAAGCCTGGATTCTCCCAATTCCATGCTTCAAGCTGAGTCAGCCCAGAGTGGAAATTAGCTTGAAATCCCTTCTTCAGTCCACCCGACTTTTGACCAAGGCAGCTATCAGTATAATTTATTATTTATTTAGCAGTACCGAGGCTTGAACTTAGGGTTTACAACTTAAGCCACTCTGCAGCCCTTTTTTTGTGAACGGTTTTTTTCAAGATAGGGTCTCACAAACTATTTGCCCAGTCTGGCTCCAAGCCTTGATCCTCCTGATCTCTGCCTCCTAAGTAGCTAGGATTACAGATGTGAGCCACCAGCGCCTGGCTGCTATATTTTTAACAGGGACCTCTCCCAGGCTCCACAGTGTGGCTTCATCTCTGTGACAGACCCTGCTAGAAGCAGCTCCCCAGTCCCCAGTCAGCATCTCTGGGAGAGGCTCCTCCCTGCCACACCGTGAGGCCACATATTCTGAGAAGGGAGAGGTCTAGAGCTGCCCTGCCTGCCTAGAATACCAACTCTGCTTCCTACCAGCTGTGTGAGCTTGGGCAAATCCCAGGCCTCTCTGAGACTCAGTTTCCCCCTTGTGAAGTAGGGATAATAAAGAACCTCCCTCCCAGGGCTGTTGGTCTAGTTAAATGAGACCAGGCACGGGAAACCCTTTTGGATGCTTGGCACAAGCTAAGAGCCACCAGAGATGCTGACTAGTGAAGGACGAGTGACTTGCCCAGCATTTGAGGTCCTGTGGAGCCAGGTTTGTGCAGGCTGGGCTCTCCTCCAGCCAGAGCCTTGCTGCTAGGCTCTCTACCTCCTGCCTTGGCTACCTGAGTCCACCTTCTCTAACCTTCCTCCAGGTCCCAGGGCAGTAACAATCACACATCTTCCCAGCCTCCACCCTGACTTCTGAGCCTCAAGGGCAGGACCCACTTTGCAGTGCTCATCATGGTTCATCTGTGTAGGTCTTACTTCCCTCAGGGTCCAGGGCTCCCACTTCTCCGGGGCAACAGATCCACCAAGCACCTAGGCCAACAGCAGGTAAGGCCTTCCCCACCTGCACCCCAGGAAGGCAGGAGGAGCCCAGCTGCCCAGAGCTGGCAGAGGTTGAACAGTATAGGTTGCTGTTCCCAGAGCAGGCCAGGCAGCCCAGCAGGGACTGGCAGACCAGGGCAGGAGGGGTGGATGCCCCAGGCAAGTGTGGAGGCAAACCTTCTACACCTGGCCCTGGGGTCCACTTGAGGAAGGGCTCCCCCCAACTCCTGCCAGAATGGTTCAGTCTCTCCTTCAGCAGGAGAGCCCCAGCCACCAGCTCTGAGGCCCTCTGGCTAAAAGGGGGCTTCTGAGGACAAGAAATGTATCACATTTCATGGATGGAAAAAGCCTCTGTGTGTGTGTGTGTGTGTGTGTGTGTGTGTGTGTGTGTGTGTGTGTGTGTATGTGTGTGTGCGCGCGCCCGTGCACACGCACGCATGGGTATGTGTCCTGAGGCCAGGTGGCAGGGGGAAGGGCAAAGGGACGGTATGTCTCAGACTGCATTCTCTACTTTCTACTTCCAAATAACAGCAGTAATAGCAGTCTTCCCCTTTCTTCATCCATATGCTGTTCTAAGCGCTTTATACACACTAACCCCTGCTCCAGTTAGGAATCAGAGGCTTAGAGATGGTGTGTAACTCGCCCAAGGAGCCAAGAAGTGCTGGTACCAGGACTTGACAAAAGTGGCCGGGGCCCAGAGTCCCCTCTTAATCAGGCCTGGGATAGCAGCCAGGCCATCTGCTAAAAGGGACCCATTTCATCATCTCTCTCAGGAAGCTGTCTAGCTAGGTTGGATGGGATGCCCCAGTGATTTGGACCCTCTGCATACTCACCGACCTCCTCCCCAGACTGTCTTCTCCCTGTTCTTCTGATTGCTACCAGGTGCCACCCTAGGGCACTAACAGATCCTGGGTTCCTAGGGCCATCGATGCCTGCCTCCCAGGCCTCCCTGGCTGGCTGAGAATCCCAGGGATCCAGTTCAGAAATTCAGATTCCCGGGCCCTCAGGTTGAGGTGGTACCAGGAGTCTCATCTTTCCTTCATTTCCCAGGTCTGATGTCGGCCACATTTGGGGACTTCTGGGCCAAGCCATCCCCGACCAGGCTCCAGTGCAAAAGTGGGAGATAGTTCCCAGCAGGAGAACATCCCAGCAGGATGAGCCCCTCCCCCAAGGAACCCTGATATCAACCTTCAACACCCCAGAAAACTGCCTCAGCAGCCCAGCCTGCATCCCATTCCCTTGGCTTATCTGCCATGCTCACTCCTTCCCCTTTAGATGCTCCTGGTCCACCTCTTCCAGGAAGCCCTCCTTCTTCTCATCTCCTAATCTGGTCACCTGGTTTGCCCAGAAGTTGCCTTATAGGTACAAAGCTGCCCTTCTCCCTTCCCAGGCCAGGGCCACGTCTGTATTTCCTTGGCCTCCCTCTTCCTTATCCTGGATGTGACTGAGTGTGACCAAGGCATGGTGCACTCTGGTCTTGTGCAAAGCAGGCTACGTTCACTACTGCATTTAACATCCTATGAAGGAGGTGGCACTTTTACCTCCCATCTGCAAGTGAGGAAACTGAGGCACAGAGAGGTTAAATACCTGCCTAACATCACAGACCTTGAAGTGAAAAGGGAATGGCCTTCCAAGCACCCAGGCTCTTGACATCACCAATTCCCTGCCTGAAAGCCAACATCCCAGAACACAGGACTTAGTTGCAGATAGAATGCAACATTTCTGGGCTTCTCAGGCCTCCCCAGGTTTGGCACCCCACTTAATCACTCCAGGAGGCTTTTTCCCAGTCCACTGTCAGACCCACCAGAACTCTGGGCAATCACAATATATCAACGTGGAAGATCAGTTTTCCAGCACTGGGGCCCGCCCGCCTGCTTCTGTCTGCTAGCCAGTTATCTTGGGCTCAGGCCAGGGCCACGTAGGGCCTGGCACCCATAGAACTAGGACCTCCCTACCTGCCCAAAGCCCAGCAATGATTTCCCCAGATGGATGAAACTGTGGCCCAGGGTCAGAAGAAGTAACTAAGAGATGGCAGAGCAGATGGTAAAGACAGATTGTTGGGCAAGTAACTTAGCCCCCCTGTGCCTCAGTTTCTTCATCTGTACTCTGGGAATCAGATGGGTAACAGCAACACTTTCCTCCAGAGACTCTTGAAGATGTAAAGAATCATGTCTAAAGCACATAGCTTGGTGCCTGGGTTCTTATCTCCAGGAGGAGCCTCCCCTGGAGAGGGAGCTGTGCACAGGCAGGTACCGCCCAGGGGATCCAGGATGAGAAGCAGGTGCCTTCTTGAGAGAAGTGACAAAGAGAGAGTGGGCATGAGGGCTTGGGGAGAAACAGGCATGCCAAGGAAGTTCCTGGAAGAACAGATCCTCAGGAAAAGGCTAAGAACCTGGCCCTGATCTGGCTGGGCCCTGGCTGATCCCCCTTCCCCACCTCAGCAGCTCCAGGCAAGGAGGCAGGTGATCAGTGTGTGACCTTGTCTCATGGAATGACACACCCTGTCTGCTTTCTAGGGAGTGGGAATGAGTAAAGCTCCTCCCATCCTCCATCCTCTTCCCCATCCTCACTCCAGGGTTTCACTGGAGTAAAACAAAGGGTCAGGCGGAATGGCAGGAGGTAGGGACCTTGTACCAGAAGCCAACAATGGCTTCCATGGGTCTGGCTGCCCATACATTTCTGCTGCCTCAGGGCATCTCACTCCCCTGCCCCCCACCCCTCAATCCAGCCTGGTCTGCCTGACTCCTGGCACTTATCTATTCCTTTCTGTGGAACCCACCACCTGAAGCCCCACCCATGTCTGAGTTGATGCCCCTGGAGTTCCTGATTTCAACACCTGTCCTTCCCTCACTGTGGCCAAACTAAGGCCTGAGGGGTTGTTCTGGGACAGGGAGAGGACAGAGATCAGCCAGAGCCTGGACAGAAGGAAGAAAGGGCGGGGCATGGTGCACACACTTGTAATCCCAGCACTTGGAAGCTTGAGGCAGGAGGATGGAGAATTCGAGGCCAGCTTGGGCTATAAGCTGTCTAAAAAAAAAAAAAAACAAGAATAAAAACAAAAGGAAGGGATAACAGGCCAGGGAGCACCTGGACTCTCCTCCCTGGCACTCTGGGCCATGTGCATGTCACTGTGTTGAATGCCTTGGTCTGGAGGATCCCTCAGGACAGGTCAATGTCTCCGCCTTCACACAGGGCTCCCTGGGAGCAGAGAGCTTTATCTCCCCCATCAGACTGGGCATCTACTGAGGTGAGGAGCCGTGTGTTTCCCCTCTGATTGGCACTCCTTAAAAGTGAAAGCTAAGCCAGGTGCCAGTGTCTCATGTCTGTAATCCTAGCTGCTCAGGAGGCAGAGATCAGCAGGATTGAGGTTCGAAGCCAGCCTGGGTAAACAGTTGCCAAGACCCTATCTTAAAATAAACCTATCACAACAAAAGGGCTGATGGAGTGGCTCAAGGTGTAGGCCGTGAGTTCAAACCCCAGTACTGCAAAAAAAAAAAAAGTGAAACTGTCCACATGCCAAATCCATGGACATTCAGGTGAACAGCTAGACATGCTGCCAGAAAGCTCTACCCACCACACTCCCCCAGACTCCATAGCAAGTCCCTTTCCCCACCCCAGACCTCATTGTGCCCCAGAGGGACACATGGTATGGTCCATAAACCTATGCCAACTAAAAACCCCATTGCAGTCACCTGCCAGGGGAGGGAGGAGCTAGCTTCTCCAGGGGCTGCTGGGGTGAACCCTCCCTGATCCTCCCTCACCAGTGGGTGGCTCAGGAAGACCTACATGGAAAATGACTATCGTACTCTATCCTACTTCTTGGCCAGTGGAGGAGTCCACCTCAGGTAGATCTGAGGGATCTGGGGAAGGGGAGGGGTGGTCCTCCAAACAGCATTTCCAAACAAAAGTCCCCCAACCAGAGAGGGGGGCCAGCAGGAATGAGCTGTGGGTCTCAGTTACAGTGAGGGGCTCTACTCCAATCAGCAGTGGCAACCTGAGGCTAAGTGTTTAACCTTTCCAGGTCTCATTCTTTCCACTTACAAAATGGGCCTTACCTAGGCACCAGTGGCTCAGGCCTGTAGTTCTAACTACTTGGGATCTCAGTGCAAAGCCAGTTGGGCAAACAGTTTAAGAGAGCCCCATCTTCAAAATAACTGGAGCAAAATGGATTGGCGTGTGGTTCAAGCAGTAGAGCACCTGCTTTGTAAGAACAAAGCCATGAGTTCAAAGCCCAGTCCCACCAAAGAGAGAGAGGGTGAGAGAGAGAGAGAGAGAGCAAAGGGCCACAACTTGAACTAGCTTGTCATTAGTACTCCACCTCTTGCCCATGAATGAGTGCTTACCACCTGCAAGGCACATTACCTAATTATCTCAGCCTTCTTAACAGCATCACCCTCTGTGTCAGCTGCCCTGCACCTCCCCTGCCCTCCTCTTGTCACCACTGGGGGCTGGGTGCCTGATGTCCTGTCATCAGTTTGGTCCATCTCTGACTCACCTCTTTGGGCTTCATAGTTTCTCTCCTGAGATGGGGCGAGGGGGAGGCCCACATCAGCAGAACTGGGGGGTGTGGAGGAGAGGCCCAGAGCGGGAAAGAAAGCTACTATGGGGCTCCAGGCTCCTGATGCAAGGAACCCAGGCCCTTTGCACACACCAGCCAGGCCTGTGCTCAGAGTGTTTTCCCTCAGATTTCTTGACCTTTTTTTTTTTGGCAGTACTGGGTTTTGTACTCCGGGCCTCACACTTGCTAGGCAGATACTCTACCACTTGAACCATGCCCCAGCCCTCTTTGACCTGTGTAACTGTGCTGCTTGATACTCCAAAAAAGCTGAGTCCAGGAGAGAAAATGTCCTCTGCCAGGGCATTTAATGGACAGAGCTGAGCTCTCGCCGACTGGCCTCATCCCCTGGCAGCCTCAGAAGATCTCTCAAAGTTGAGGTATTCTCACCTTGTTTTGCAGACTAAGACACCTAGCCCCAAAGAAACTCAGCATCACTTTACCACTGGGAGGTGAGTGGCCCTTGGTACAACTTAGTACAAAGGAGGTTCCCAGTCCTCCTGGCCCAAGGACCACAGAGCCATGTTCCTTCTGCTACCCCAACCCCACACTGGGAGCTGGCTCCCAGGCTCTCCAGGAATGGGGGTGAGGGGTGGGGGTATAAGTCTGGCTCTGCACCCACTCAGGATAGTGGGGCACACTTGGGAACTCAGTCTGCCTTGGAGAAGCGTAACAGAACTACACTGGAGTCCGGCCCACCTCAGACCAACCTTCCATGGCTGGACAGCCCAGGGCAGTCACTTCACCTGGTGGGCCTCAGTTTCCTCACATGCAAAGTGGAGAGAGGAAGATCAGCATAGCAGGGGGCTGGGCAGAGCACAGAGGAGGTGGTCGAACTTGGACTGCTCCTCCAAGGTGAGCCACACCTTCTACCTCCCCTACACCCCAAGGCCCCTCACCCCTAAGGTTATGAGGCCTGGTGGCTCTGAGTTGGGCTCTGGAACCAGGCACACCTGGGAGGTAAGTCCTGTTCCAAGGCCCACAGGCTGTGCTACCTTGGGCAAGTGAATCAACTCTGGAGCCTCAGATGGCCAAGTAGGAAAATGGGGACAAGAGAAGAAACATTCCCAGGGTGGTGACCATGCTTAACTAACGATGCCCGTTCACAGTAAGTAGCCCATAAATAGTAGCCGCTGTCCGTTATTATTATAAGCACTGGCCGCTCTCCGTGCTGAATGGGACTTCAGCTGTCACCCTCCCCTACCCACTATGTGGGAACAACAGTCCCAAGAGGGGAAGTGTTGTCCAAGTCATCAGCGAGTAAGTGGACAAGTGACCGGAACCCAGCCCTCTCCCGCCCCCACAGCCCAGGCCGCCCGGGCCACCTCGGTCCTCAGCGAGGCAGCCCGGGAACGCTCCCCGCCCGCGCCCCTTCCCGCCCCTCGCGCCCTCACCCTCCGGCTTGGTGTCGCCCTTCGCGTGGGCCAGGAGCAGCCAGGCCAGCGGGGCCAGGAGCAGCAGGGGCCGCATGGCTGGGTCTGGGGACGATCGGCCGGCACCACGGCGCTCCCAGGACTGGAAACTTCGCCACCGGGCGGGCGGGCGCTGCCACGCACTGGACCCGCCCCGGGGGCGGCGCCCCGCGGTCCTCCGCCCTGCCCGCCGCCGCCCGGGGATGGGTTTTCCGGCAGAGCCGTCGCAGCCCCTGGCCTCTCGAGTTGGGGCAGCTCCCTCCCGTCCAGGTGTCTCCCGGGTCCTTCCGCCGATCCGCCCCTTCCCCGCCCTTCTCCAGGGCTTCTCCACCACTAGGAGAAAGAACGGAGTGAGAAAGCCACAATTTGTAGACCCCAGATTCTGCCCCAGGCCCTCTAGGTATAAGTCACCGGATCCTTGGTTTGTTCACCTGAAGAGTGCGGTTTCTTTTGCACAGGGATTGATGTCGTGCACTAAGAACAGCCTCAGTGACAAGCCCCAAAATCAGCTCTTGGGATTACATTTTCACTAGACTTTTCTCAAACCCAACAGATGAGGGGCTGAGCTGGGATGGGTGAGGTTGGCGGGGATGTGGACAGAGGCATCACACTCTGGCAGTGATCCTGCAGGCCGCTGGAAATGCAAAAAGGCCCCCCCACCCCTCCCCAAAGGGAATCGTTAAATCCCTTTGTATCCCTAGGAAGTAAACCTTTGGGCCAAGGAGAATCTGAGCTTCTGAGCGAAGGAGAATCTGACTCTGAAGGTTAATGGAAGGAAGGAAGGAAGCAAGAAAGGAAGGAAGGAAGGAAATGTAGGACCTCCTCACAGACACCCAAAGCCCAGCAAACAATTCAAGGGACTCCAGAGCAAGGGTTCCTGGTCCAGATCTCAGCTAGGGGTATCCATCTCAGGGCAAAGTCCTGTCCTTCCTTGGAAGACACCTCAGACAGGCACCCAGGAACCTTTTTCCAGTTGATTGGACTTTTTAGAAGGTGAATGGTGGGTTCAACCCTTGGGGGTGTCCTTGGGATGTCCCTGGAAGGAGCCAGGTGGGGGAAAGAGGAAGGTCCTGGATATCAATAATAACTTAGTAGGTGCTTCTGCACCAGCAAAGAAATGCACTACCTATAGGACGGTAAGTGGGAAAAGCAATTTATACAGGGTGGCCCCCTGGGTCAAAACAGAGTCTTAGCCATGTAGGTAAGCTAGAGACAGTGCTGAAAGAAAATCACAGCCAGATGTTTGCAGAGATTGTTTCCAGGTTGTGGGATTCTTTTATTAAATGTGTATATAAAAGCATATGGCATACACTTATTATTTATAGATCCTATTATTTCTAGGCAATTTTTCTTTTTTTGGCAGTACTGGGGTTTGAACTCAGAGCTTTTCGTTTACTATACCGCTCGAGCCACACCTCCAGCCTTTTTTGCTGTGGTTATTGTGGAGACAGGGTCTCGCTTTTTGCCTGGTGCCAGCCTTCACTGTGATCCTTACATTTATGCTTCCCACTGTAACTGAAATGATAGCTGCACCCACACCCAGCTTTTTCGGTTGAGACAGGGTCTCAAGAACTTTTTGCTCCATCTTGTCTGGACCTGTGATCCTCCCTATCTCAGTGTTCCACATAGTTGGGATTGAACCCAGCTATTGGTTGAGATGGAGTCTCTGAATTTTTTTTCTTTTCATTTTTTTCCCAGCTGATCTTGAACCTTGCAATCCTCCTGAGTAGCCAGGATTACAGGCATGAGTGATGGACACCCGGTTTAATTTTATTTATTTATTGCAGTACCAGGGCTTGAACTCAGGGCCTACACCTTGAGCCACTCCACCAGTCCTTTTTTGTATTAGGTTTTTTCGAGATAGCGTTTCTCAAACTAGTTGCCCGGGCTGGCTTCAAACCATGATCCTCCTGCTGTCTGCCTCCTGAGTATCTAGGATTATAAGCATGAGCCACCGGCGCCCAGCCTACCCAGCTTAATTTTTTATTTTCTTATTTCTTATAATTTTTTACAATGAGTGTGCACTATTTGCACAATTGAAACAAATATGTGTTATTTTAGAAGGTGCATAGGATTGTGAAGGTCATCTCATGGTACAGAGACTTGCTCATTGTACAGATGGTAGAAGAAGAGGGACCCAGCAGCAATCTCGAAGTCACAAGGCAAATAAAAGCAAGAGGCATGAGTAGAATCTAGGGCCTCTGCCTCCCTACTGGAACCCAGGGCTGGGAAGTTTCTGCAGCTGGGGACAGGATTTGGTGCCAGAAGCCACCGGATGTTTTGCTCTTAGGAGGATGCAGACTGAGACTTCAAACCCTCGAGGAGGAAACACAGGGATGAGCGGAGGTAGAACCAGAATGCCTGAGCTGGCTGGTTCAATTTTCCAAGCTCTCTCTATGGCCTGCAAGTTAGGCAGTATTGCCTGCATTTGTGAAGTGAGGGAACTGGGGCTCAGAGAAATGAAGCCATCTTGGGAAGAAGGAATTCACTGTGCTGAAGCCTGCCCTCTGCCCTTTTGGTATCTGTCTCCTTTTTGCTTCACCAAATTGCTGGAACTTGAACATGTTCCAAACTTCGTCCAGCCAGGAAGGTCTGTCTCTTTAACCAGCAGTGGCTGCTGCCCAGATGTAGCTCCCTGTACGTGCTACACGTGCTGTGGATAGTTAAAGGCACAGGACTCAGTTTTATTGGGGGAGGTGCAGAGACAGCAAGCCTGGAGGAAAGCTGCCTGGAGCCATGGGGGCTTTTCTCACGTTCATCCTCTGCTTTAATTGAGGAAGAGCCACGGCCTCCAGCCTCTGTGGGATGGTTCACTCTGTGCTGTCAGATGGGGCTGTCACCTCCCATGGCGCATTTAGCCTAATAGATA